TCGTTTTTACACTATCTCCATGTAAGAAATTCTATCACAATTTTGGTTTGTAAGCAGCTGACGAGAAACCTCGAAATAATATGAAGTCATACTATTCTGCATCAATGTCTGTTCTTGCTCTATTTAAATTCATAGTATTGATATCATTAATTGACGAACACAATGATTTTCTATGAGGTACTTTGAAAACATTGAGGAGTTATTAAATAGTTTTACGTTGTATGTAAACTTAGTCGAAGATAATGAAAAGTAAAATTGGTTCAATGTAGTTCTTCAAAAAATTAATTCACTTTTTACTTAGGTTAGCTAATTTTGAAAATTTAAATTAATCACGCTCAAATGAACATTTAAAATCGTTGTATCTTAGTTTAGTGGTCTTCAAAAATCCACATCTATTACCATGTTAGTGATGAAGACTAGAAATGTTTGGTCGCTTAAAGTACCAGTCCATTCCACTTTAACCCATTTACTGAATCTTATTTAAAATATTTGAGGGAGGGTATTTTAGCGTAAATTACACTAAATTTATTTCTACTGGTTAACAAGTTGATATTTCATTTCGACACCTTGTTTTCATCATAATAACTTCGCGTAAACTTCTGAATGGATGTGTGTACATATCAAATGTATAAAAACACTAGTCCAGTGAGTTGTACAACTTTGTATCCAATCCTGTTTGCTGATAAAGGTAGTATTATATTCACTTTGTTGTTTATTATTTACCCGATCAAGTGTAAATTATGATCACATGATGAATTCGGATTTATGACAATAGAATGTACATCACTGACATTATGTGCATAGAAATCAATTAACCTAAATTTATCATCAAACTACGAAAGCTATTTAGCTTAAAATGAACAACATTGTTTGATTTTTAATTTATTTGAGTTTAAATGTTTTGTTATCGGAGATGATATGTGGTATAATCAAAAAATAAATATTACAAAGTTTATATACACAATTTTAAGCCTAAAGGATGATTCGTCCTACGAAGCTGTTTACAGGAGTAGCATCAGGATAAAAAACACCGAAAGTGGCTAATTTAAGAGATTATATCAATCTGTGAGGTAATTGGTTACTAATGTTAATAGGTCGTCAGTTAGGCTGTACTATATTTGATAATATACTATGATTAGCCTTCAGAATAATATGCGTTTCTATATATATTTGATTTGATTCCTACAAATGTTAATACTGTATTAATTAAAAAAACAAGACACTTCGTTTTCTTCTTTTTTATATTGAGGAAATATTTTTCAGTGTATATGTGTATATCATATCTTGCAAAACTCTTGGAATCATTCTACATTCATTAAGTTTATCTATTCAAATTGCTTTACATAAATCATACGAAATTATTTCAATAATTCAGGAGCAATAATTATTCAAGGTGCTTGGATAGACAAAAGTTGTATTGTGGAAATAAATTGCTTGGTTTTATTTTAAAGCTTATCAACTGTTAGGATGATATCAATTATTTCACAATTGATTGATCACTTGGTGGTGATAAATGTCATTTGTGTCAAGTCCTTATTTAGTGCAGATCGAATACTATGGACCAAGTTGCGATGTGGCCACTAGTCTAGGTGACTTGACATTGCGTACACTATGTTGAGATGAGAGGGTGGTCGTAGGTAGTCGACAGGAAACCCTGTACTCGGATTTCGTGCTACTTGGCACTCATCAGGAAGGTGTACCTGTAATCTTGAGGGAACTGGTGCTCCCTGACGGATTAGATCCCGTGTCACCCAGGTTTTTAATCCAAGACTCATTTGATCTGCAATAAGAAGGACTTGACACACATGACATTGTTCACCACTCAGTGATCAGTCAATTGTGATTGCATCACAGTTCTACAGGAGGTCGGTTGCGGCCAGGATAGCTCAGTGGTAACGTCTCTGAATATAAAGCTGGGTGACACGGGATCTAATTCGTCAGGGAGCACCAGTTCCCTCAAAATTACAGGTACACCTTGCTGATGAGTGCCAAGTAGCACAAAATCCGAGTACAGGGTTTCCTGTTGACTATTTCCAACCACCATGATATCAATTATTTGTTTATATTTTTTCTTCATGATCAGCAAACAATTTAAATTGTACAATAATCTAGAGAAATCATTTAATTTTCTAGAAAAACTAAATGAAGTTTATAATAAAGTACACAAGGATCTGTATACGTAAACTTAGAGGATAAAAGAAGTTCAAACGGGACATAGTGTAGCAATACTTCATCGATCACCTTGATTCAATGACCTTATGAAAACTTATCTGATTGTAAGCCAATCACAATACAGGTTATATAAACGGATAATTTATTATAGAAAACTTATAATTTATATGGAACATTGTGAAACTCAACAAACATCATTAACAATTACCTGAAGCGCATAAGCATTTAATTTTCGTTACGAATAGTATCTACATTCGTGAAGGTGTTTTTTGTAAATTAACTTACATCCCATGTCATATACTCTGTATGTTTGAACAATAGTTATATTTATTAGTTTTAAACTTTTTATGTACTAAATATAAGAAAGTTTTATTCAACTCATGATAAAGTATAAGGTAGTTAGTTAGAGAAGTCCTACTCACTGTTTCCTCGTGTTGTTCACGAAACTGAGAGAACGAGAAGCGAATATTTGGAGCCTTAACCGGTCGGTGGATAAGGAATACTCACTTAGGGAAGTTGGAAAACCCTGATTTCAAATTAACGGTGCACATGGGCTCAAGGATCCTGAGGGGACCAAATGTGAATGAACCTATTGTCGGTTACCGGCTACCATGGGACTGCATCGCCTGACGTTGTTCCACTGCCTTGTGGATCAAACCTTTAGGTCGAAGGCTCCGGGTGTGGCTCCCTAAGAACATCACCTGCTACGGTTTGGGCACCCGGGCAGTATTACAGCTCATACATAAATCAATTGACTTGTATGGCGCATATGTATTCAGTGTCCCTTTGTACCAATATTTATGTATCCAAATAATGAATAAAGAAATGATTTTTTAGATTAATTTAGGTAGTAATAAAAACTGTCTTAACATTAAATTAGACCGATTCCTAGTATGTTATTTATATATTTGTGTGAATTTCTTGTTATTATTGGACTCAAAGCATCTGTTTTTAAATTTCTTTGAATACCTCTTACTGTAACTCCGCCTGTAGCTCTTACAGGGTTACTGCCGGTCCCAAGCCCGGGTAAAGGAGGAGGGTTGGGCATGGGGTTAGCGTCCCCATCCCGTAGAAAACTAACTCGCTAAAAAAACGCTTACCAGAACCTCTTACTGTGGATTTTCGAAAGAGTGGGGAAAGTGAAACAGATCATATTCTGTTGTAATGAAACATGATTAGGCTTGAAGACGTGAGTAACCTCATTGTGAGTTAGCTGATTATTTATCTGGCTAAAATCCATGTCTACATACTTTTGTTTGAGTTAATTCACTGTTTTTACTCTTTCATAGCTGAATGAGCAACTGCTAGGATGCATATATTGAATTCAGTTAAACCGAAAGCTATAAAAAAACGCATTGAAGATAAATAATTCAGATAACTCTTACCAACAACTGGTAATAAAGTATTGGATAAGTTTCTAATAAAAATGTGCTTCAGGTGTTTGAGACCAAATTAAAACTTCCATCGTATACCAGCTATTCAAGAATTTCCCCTAAACTTCATTCAAACAATTCAACAGAGAGTATGTATTAGATTTGACTGAAGTAGCAGTTTTCTTTGCTATTTTCAGTAAAAATAGACAGCTTGTTAACTAATTCACAGTTTGTTCTGATTACAAACCAAATTAAGATTTCATAAATAAAAACCTGTTCATCATTCAAAACATCTTCTATCGTTGAATGTAATAGATTATCGAATTTGTGAACTTCAGATTTGTAGCAAACACATTATCTTTAAACCAGTGAGTTTACATTTGAGGTTCACATTTTCCACTTAGTCAATCCAATATATAGAATGTGCATCTTTTATTGCTATCAACAATGTATTAATTTTTAAAATTTTGATTTTATAGTTTCACATTGGATGGCCATTTCGTCCTAGTACGAGACTCTTCAGTAGTACGCATTCACGATCCCACTCAAAACCTGCCAGTCTTGCACGCGAACGCCTAATATCTAAACCACTAAGCCGGCATTCAACAGTGTTAATGTCTAGCTTCAATCAATCCACAAAATCGTCCCACCGTCCACCATTGTCTTCAATGATTTACTATCTCACAACAAACCTGGTTGAACTCCATTGGTCACGACTTCTCACTAGAATTCCAGGAAATATCTCTTGAAGTCAGTTACAAATGAGTAGATGATGATTATTATCAAAAGAAAGTTTTATGAATTTCTTGAAGTTTTTAGTCTTCATTGAGAAAATGATTAATATAGAAAAAATATATATATATATACATATATATGAAATTTATTCTATTTAAATATATAGTTTACTATACAATTCAACTTGAGATATACAATTAATGAAAATAAACAATCATTGTATAATTATTTCTTTATATTACAATGAAATATTCTACATGAACTATTAGTTTACCTTTACAATAAAAAAATTCTACTATTCAATGTTCAATTTTTTTCTTTAATCAATGAAAAAAAAGTTTTTGTAGTTGAATATGAATGAATAAAAAACAAGATTAGAATAAATAATTTAATAAATCAATAATTATTGAATTTAATGAAGATACATATTTTAACATACATAGTTACTATCAAATCTTATTATTGTATATTGATTAACCTTCAAATACAAGAAAATAATAATAAAGTGAATTGAATTTAATAATCATAAGAAAATTACAGACAATCTATTTATTTTATAGAATTATGTATAATAATTGTATCTAATGAAACATTGAATCTTTTATAATATTCATTAAGATTATTGAACAATACTGATAGGATTGACAACAGAAATAATGAAGATAGTAATTCTAATATAAATAATGATTATAGATTATCAAATTTATTTATTTATTTGGATTAAAAATGACGATCCAGCGCCTCAAGATATTTAGAATCAATAGCTTTAGGAATAAGTGTATGTCTGAAATAAATTTAGAAAAATTGTTATTTGTAATGTTAATCATTTATTGGATATAAAAAAAAACAGGAGGGGGGTAGTTAGATAATTATCAGTAAAAAGAAAGGTAGGTCTATAATTTATGGATGACATGTGAGCGACACTAAAATGACCTTCAGAGTGTTCACTTAATAACTAGGATGAAATGAGGGTTATAAATTAGTGTGAAGAATTAGAATTATGATTTACAGTTTATGATTAAGATTAGGAATGAGATTTAGAGTTTTCATCATGAACTGACATTAGTTATAATGCTTAAACGGTATTTAATCAAATGGATGAGCGAATTTCGCTCCAAAATTAGAAATCTGTCATCTTATACCTAATTCGTTCATCTATAAATTATAATTTCGACAAAAGAAGAGTATTCATTCTATAACAATTCAGAAAATAAATATACGAATATAATGAATATGAAAAGAGCAAGAACAAAGATTCTAGCAGAATAGCATGAATTCATTTTATTTCGTAGGTTCTCGTCAGCTGCTTACAACCTGTGATATTTAAAAATCATAATTACATGATGGGTTTAAATTGTTTACTGAATATTGTAAATATATACCTAATGTGAAAGAATATTCTGCAACATTAATTGTGACAACAGTTCAAAAGTGGGTTATAAACAATTGATTACATAATGAATAAACATTGATACGAATATAGTGAGTAGAGTTCAGTTGAAAGATTATTAATTTGAAAGATAGTTGAAAAAATAAAATAAAATCAGTGGTGTAATAAATACACAAGAAAAAAAAATTGAACATGTTCCAAAAAGTCTTAGAACAAGGGAAAGAAAGACTCTGAATAGTGCAACCACCAAACATCTCCTTGATAGAGGACATCAGATAGATACCCTACAATCCTTTAGGGTGATTAGTAAGCAGCCGAACTCCAGTCTTCTGAAGTTTGCTGAAGCCATTGCCATCAGGCGTCAAAAACCTGACATGTGTATTCATAAGGAGACAGTGGTTAATCTTTCTTTGCCTTGGTGACAAATATTCTTTCACTGCACCTTAATTTTTTTCCTTTTTTTCCTTTTTTCTTTCTTTTGCATCTATTACATCATTGATTTTATTTTATTTTTTCAACTATCTTTCAAATTAATAATCTTTCAACTGAACTCTACTCACTATATTCCTATCAATGTTTATTCATTATGTAATCAATTGTTTATAACCCACTTTTGAACTGTTGTCACAATTAATGTTGCAGAATATTCTTTCACATTAGGTATATATTTACAATATTCAGTAAACAATTTAAACCCATCATGTAATTATGATTTTTAAATATCACAGGTTGTAAGCAGCTGACGAGAACCTACGAAATAAAATGAATTCATGCTATTCTGCTAGAATCTTTGTTCTTGCTCTTTTCATAATGAATATGATCAAATTTTCAGTGATTGAATGAATACAAAATAAAGTCGATATATATTATTTAGATTAGTGAATTTTTAAAGAATATGTAAAGATATGTACAGTCAGTATATTTATTCAATATGAATTCTTTTTATAAAAATTAATGTCAATTAACTCTTTTTGACCAGAAAAGAAATCAACTTTATCATATTGTCTTTATTACAATTAATATTAAGAAGATAAAAATATTTTTTAGCTTCTAGCTATGGTGTGATACTTATATCGACATGAGTAGTATAAAACAATAATCAGGATTAGAATTTCTGGCAGAAGAAGATGGAGAAGGAAAGAATGGGAACAGAAATCAATCGGTATGAAAACGCAGAAACAATGAAGTATTGAGACAACTGATTGATATTTTCAAGAGGGGCAGTTAAGTTTGAGAAAATTGATTAACATTTTGTAAATGAAGTATTTACTGTATGATTCTCATATTTTAATAAGAGATTCTATAATTTTGTGGTCGTATACATTTACCACATGTGTTCTCGTTCGCTACATGGTTACTTACAAAATTAAAGTTTCGGTGGTTATATAACAAAGTGGAGTAAATGACTTTGTAATATATTTATTAGTGGTTTTAACATAATTCTAAGAGGCTTTTTTTTCTATAAGTTAACTTTTTAAAAGTTTGATAATAAAATCAAGCATTTGATCAATTTTCTATTTGTTAGTCATCATTTTATCATATGTCCGTTTATGTAAACATTAAAACAATTAAAACTGATAGAAATATCATTTGTTTATTATTCTGAAATAAAATATCATACCTAGTCTCTTTGAATGTTTTAAGTGTTTTCTTCCATCTATTTTTAATGATTATGTGGTTTGTTTATTGATTCTATCAAATGATTTATGTGTAATATACAGAGAAAAATAATGATTGTAGTTCAGATATTTTGATATTAAGTACCGTGCTGATCCAGTTGAAATACACTAAAATTATTTAACTAGTTACCATTTACTAGTCGACTTCAGTTAAGATAATCACTTTTATTGACAAAATATAATACCTAACACAATTGCTAACTACAAAGATCAAGCTGTTTCAGAATTTTTCAGAATCTTTTTATTTTGTGGCTGTAGTTCGCTTAGAATATGCGTCACGTCGCCTGACTGAATCGAATCATATCAACTGATGTATTTATCGAGGTAAATAATTAAAAGTCAAATAGATAATGAGTAATTATGAATGTCATATCTTTACTACCAACAAAAGCATATTTTTTAATCTTCAAAATAAAAATAAATCACTAGCTTATTTTGTTTTTTTATAAATTGTACCTGTGTATTTAAAAAAAAAGTGTTTATGACTCCCTATATCAGTAAACTGAATGATTATTGATAACTGTTTCTAATGTGACTAAATTTTTAAAACTAAATTTATACTATTAAAATAACTAGTGGGTATGTTGAATCTTTGAAACGAATGAAGTGAAATAAATTGATGTCAACTTCTAAAGTTTTATGTTCTTGGTAATATAAACATAAGTTTATTGGGAAAACTATATTTTTTTCCAAACAGAATACTTCAATCATAGCTTAATCATTGTGTTTTGCTTATCTATTAAATATATACTTTTCAATGAACTTTGAATTAACATTGAAATTGTGTAGAGACTGCAGAATTTTCACAACTAAAATCACGATCTGATCTTAGTTGAATTACCACTAAAAACTTAAAAGAACTGGATAGATTTTTCAACCTAATGTAAGGTACAATAACAGGCAGGAAGAATGTGCATTTATTGAGAGAAGTTACAAAGTATTTACAAAATTATTCCACATAACCTTCAATCGCTCATTCGCATCTTTCGATGTGTTCCATCATCTGAATTGTTTTCTCGTCTGGTCTTCAAGTGTTCTTCTAACACTGTGCTTTCTATGCACTGAAACGTTTCATTCCGTCTGACAGTTGTTGCAACTTCGATGAGCTGTTCCGCTATATACTGCTTACAAACAATCCTGTGAGTAGCATCCACTATATTAGTAACGAACATCTCAGAAGTATAGATCCACGCCGTTGCATCCATGAGTCGAATTTGGGATCTCTGATGTCATGTGTGAACGTTGAAACTCCGGATCAATGGGCCTTCGTTTAGCAGTGTAATGGGCTTAGATAAATACAAATGATCAATTGAATCTACTTGATTATTTTTTAGTTGTTTCAATCTTTGTATATCCTATATATTATTCATAGCTATGAAGCCACATTTCCTTATTTTCAAGTGTTTCATCATGACGATTTATTCGGTTTTATTTTTTTTGTTAGTAATACATAGGTTCTTGTTGAATATTCAGAGAAAACAATATTAGATAGTAATTTCTTACCTTAAAACTATTTGTACAACAAGTATTACAGGAAATATTAATTTCACATATGGACTAGGTGCGAATCCAAATGCACATAGAAATCCCAATTGTATTAGCTGGAAAAATGTAAATAAATGGAGTTTTCTTTGTGGTACACGTCTTATATAGTGTGATGGTGGATAAGCCGACTAAAATAGAAAAAAATCAAGATGGTGAGAGGATGTATCAAAATATATATGTATACATAAAAGGTCACTGATACTATGAATAAAATAAATGTTTTGTTTGTATTCGCAATTGAATTTTGTAGTTGAAGAATGCTATGCCAGAACGAGATAACTGCGCAGTGCTTCCTAGTTTTTAATGGTCGTCTAACTAAGGTTAGTTCGTTGTGTAAGCTATAAAATTTGGTAACTACATAAAGCCTTATTTAAATGATAATCACTTGTTTACTAAAAACTACTTATTTAAAGTGCTAATGCTTAAGGTAGCTGTGTTCAGTGGAGCTTAACTATTTTTAGAAGCTTGGCACTCTGGTCAATTAGTAATCAACATCGAAATCGATCCAATTTATCAAAAAATCAGAAAAATTATAGACAAATATAGAACCCAAAATCAAATCAATAGGAGATACAATCAAAATAAAGAAGTGAACAATGATAGGTTAAAGGTCAACAATAACCAATCAACATCGTGGTCTACAGGACAAGCTGTAATCCATATGTGAAAGAATTCGAACATTTCACTTCTACCTGAAGTTTGTGCTGATGATATCGTTCAGAATAATGCATGTATGTATGTTTTACAGTTTTAAAAAATCAAAATCTTATTTAGATTCATCTACTATTCTGTGAATTGCATGCTGATAACTTTGATGAACCAGAAAACTAATAATCAATTTAATTTGTATGTATAGTAAGCAAGTTCGCACTTCGTTATTTAATTTACTACATCATGATAACGTCTAAAAAGCGTAAACATCTCATAGTCAAGCAAGCTGGTGTAAGGTGACGAGCCCCGTTCAGATGTTTATTCAACAATGATCTTTAGTGTCGCGCTTCTGTCTGTAAACGACCGATCCTTACGGACTCCAGCCTGTTGATCTCGAAGTTGGGTGTCTACTGAATCTTTCATTCGGTTCAACAATACTCTGTTGAAAACGTTTCTTGGTTCCGTTAGCAATAAAAATCATATATATGGTTCACACATAGAGTATGATATAATTCCTAACCCACGGATAATGTGATCTTGAAATTTGCTATTACTGAAAAGTAACAACTACTGAGATTAGTTATAGAGCTCTAAGACCGTTATAAGTAAAATTAATAAGTTATATTTTTGAGAGAGCTTCCTTCAACAGTGAAAAATTACATAGATGCAAATTAAACAGACTTTACAAAGTTTATCACTTGGTTCAGGTTTCAATTCACGGTAGAAATCTAACATCAAGATACGTGTGGAATATGTCAACTAAATTTAATAAATGATCATTATGAATTTGTTATTGAATACATGAGTCATGGAGAGTCTGGAAACACTGGACGGCCGTTTCGTCACAGTATCGGAATCCTCAGTAGTGCACATCCACGACGCCACCCAAAACCTAACAGTCTCGCACGCGAACTCTTAACTTCTGAACCACTTATCCTGCACCCAAGTGTTAACGTCTAACTTCAACCAATCCATGAAATCATGCAACCATCCACCATTGTCTTCAATGATTTACTATCTCACAACAAATCTGATTGAACTCCACTGGTCACGACTTCTCACTAGAATTTCAAGAAATACCTCTTGAAGCCAGTCACTAGTGAGGAGTCCCATACTAGAACGAAACGGCCATCTAGTGCTTCCAGGTTTTCCATTGTGGTCTAGCTTCAGTTGACTCATGAATTCAACAATAAAATTAGTAAAATCTTCACAAACTACTCTTTTGATAATAATTCTTATGGAAGTTTTTTAAAACTTTAAACCAATATATTTGAATAACCTTTTGCTTTTATTTTTAGCGGATAGTGATATTTTGATCATGGTAAATTTAGATATAATGTTGTATTTTACTGAAATTGACTTCCTTTTTAGTCAATACTAAAGAATATCATTTTGTTTCAATATAAATACCTCTTCATTAAATTGAGAAAAAGTTATATTGTATAAAAGATCAAAAAGAAAAAAAGAAAACTTTATACTACTTAATGATAGTACTTACTTGTTCTGTAATAAAAAGTAATATTCTTTCAAACATTTGATTGCCTTGTAAAGCTGTTATAGCCATATAAATAAATAGGCCATTTAACACAGGTGGAGGTATATAGATCAATGGATAAGGTATCATCGCTAATGATAATCCAATGAGTACATGTGAAATAAATAATGTTAATCTTGTTTCACGTACTCGAATAACACTGTGCAAAAGAGAAGAACATAGGGATAATTTTTCATAAATAACTGTAAAATAAAAAACTATATATATATATAGCCATTGTCTAGTCCCATATATAACCACTGGTTAAATAATATATCTTCGTTTATGGTATTTTCATTGTTAATGTTATCAAGATGTTTTGAATTATCTCCCTTAAAAACATTATTTCATAATAAATTTTTATGCAGTTAGTTTGTATTTTTAAATCCGATATTTGGTAGTTGAAAGGAAGTAACAGTAAGCTGTGTACTTTATGTTTCTTTTTGACTGACACCGATAAGTAATAGTGTTTGAAATCTTGAGGGGAGCGATACCCATATTAAGATTTAAGTTGACTTCATCCTGAGTTATAGTTGAAAACGTTACAAACGAACTGTTCTGGTGATGACTGATCTGTCGTAACACTGAAAATTTTACGGGAATTCGTTGAAGATGAGGAGGAGTATGATAGATTAACTAGTACGAAAAGTAAATCCTAAGATTTCTGATGATCGTGTCTAACCACTTGACATCTGCTTCTTACTCTCCCAGAAATGTTTTAGTTTATGCCTCAAAGATAGAATTTTAACGTAAAACAGATATTTCTATCGTTAACATTTAATATGGGTAGTTAATTTACTAGATGTTGAGTTAATAAAACAGAGACAAATTTGGTAACTGTTAAATTCTAGCAGTGTCGTCAAATGAGTTATTTTTACTGGTGTTTTATGATTTTCACCATCTTATGAATGAGTCAAATTTTATTCTGAATCCAATCGAAAATGAAACTTACGTTTGTTTAATATGATGTCCACCGTCAACATGCTCTTCCATATCCGCTAAGGCTTTCACGTGTAATGGAGTATGAGGTAAAGCTGCATGAACCCATGGAAGACAAAATATTGACAATATAATGTTGATAAGTGCTATGACAAACAAATCCCAATGATTTGATGGTCCTTTTCTTAGCCTATGATAAACAAGTAAAGTAAATTAAAAGAGGGAGGCTGAAAATTCTTATATTATGTGAAGTAATTAATACTAACAACTATTCACATATTACGAAAGAGCTAGGAGGGTAATGACTCTTCCCAGTCAATAGTAGTGATTTTTCATCCAAAGTACATTTTTATTAAAGACAGAATGATTTTTATCAATCCCAAAAATGATTTCTATTGATTGAACACTTCAATCAAAGCGCCCTCTTAGCTAAAGTTTCTACCTATATTGTTTATTAAGACATATTACTCAATGCACACTAAGCTATCTTGAATTGATCGAAAAACAGATTTCTTATTAGACTCAGTCTAAGTTTAATTGATAACAACTTCCTCCCTGTGTTGCCGTGGTGCGTCTTAACTGATAATATTGTAATTCAGCTCGCTGAGTGACTTGACGTAACAAACATAGAAAAATTTTTTCCAATGAATATTTCCACAAGAGACAAGTAAAAAACAATTGAATTAATTTAGTGGCCGTTTTAATCTCCGGCAGTAAAATTCTGAAATATGATAACGAAATAATTATATAATATTTTGTGGACCTTAAAAAACCTTTAATCTATGGAAGAGCTGATCAGTATGGTTGTCAGTATTAAACGCGCCGATTGTGGTCAATATTGAATCAGGGAATCCTGCCTCATCGAAATAATTTATTAACATTCTTTTAGATAATAATTAAATCTCATAGTATATAAAGTCGAATTTCACAGCATACATAGAACGATGATCATTGTTTCAAGGAGGAAATTGTATAAAATGATAAGACAAGTTAGTTTTGCAGCAAATGATTTCTCGGAAGTATTGAACAGTGACAGCAACAAGAAGTTGACTAAGGTCATTCAGATCTATGAAATCCCAGTAATCTGTCTGAACCAGCTAAACTTCAAGAAAATAATAGTAAAAAATTAATGATGGTTGTCTCTGTTAAATTGCCAACCATGATTATATTTTTGTTCAACCGTCAATCTCATAAGCTGTATAAAGTAAATACTGATCTGAATTTATTTTGTCTCATGCATGAATAAATTTTATTAGAACTCAGTTTTATTGGTTTAAATTATCAAGTTAAATACACTACTGATACGATTTCAACTGTTAGTACTATTAACATTAATGATGCATTATAACTAAGAGGAAGGGTTACTTCTTGATCGTTTATAATAATAGTTTAACCACTCAAAAGCTAAAGGATTTTACTACAGTTAAATACTTGAAAACACTTTGTTTTTTACATCATATCACAGTAATTTTAGTTCTTTGCTTCAATCTGCTGAAACAATACTAAAAATACCAAGTTTATTAATTTGAATCTAAAGCTTAACATTTACTGTTGACTTATTAATGGAATGTTAATAAGAATTTTTTGTAAAATATAGAGAATATCGTGGGATAAGACATTGAATAAGATCAAGTTACAACTGATAATAATTCATCTTATATCGATTGTTTAAATCTTCCTACTAATGTTTAGCATTGTAACTGATCAGTCTATTATTGACATATGTGCATGCTGTCCAGATTGCTTCAATTCACAAAGATAATGAACAGAAATGTGTAATGGCTAGTAAGAGAATCCAGGACGCGCGTTTCATTCTATTACGAACTGGTCAGTTGGATGTATCTAGATTTTAGAGTTGATGTTCGCTCTGGGACTAGAACACTGTACTGTTCGCTTCAAATCTCAACGCTTTATCCACTTAGCTACTGAGATCAGATAACCACAACCTTGTACAAAGGGATGGAGTTTAATTCAACTTGTATGGCTTGCTTGAGATTAACGGTAAGGAATTCGAGTTTCGGGGTGAATATCAGCAGGTAAATCCAGCTGACGAGTCCCAAATAAATGAAACACGTGTCTTAGATTTCACTACAATCCACCATCCATCTCTCCTTTTTTAAATCCATTTTGTTTGTCTATTCAAATAATGAAGTCTAATACAGTTATTACAAATAATAAAATAAAGAACAAAAAAGAAAAACAAATCTATTACTTACTTATTAGATGGAGAATTCAGGATAGCACTGGCAATATTTTGTTCCATATAAAATAATAGTGATAATGGGATAGCTATACCGATAGATCCGAGTACGGCAGGCCAACTTAATAAGTTCAATGGGGCTTTGCTCAACATAAAATCGGATGGTTCAACTTCAAATGGTTTTACTGTGGGCAAATTGAAATTTCGAACAAAGTGATTGATTCAGTTATAGTATTCTTTAGATAAAGGTAATGCATGTTGCAAAAAACGCTCCTATTGTCAGTGTAGCAGATGCTACTCACAAGGATGTTTGTAAGTAGTATGTATCGGAACGTATCATTTAAGTTGTGTCAGCCGTCAGACGGAGGAAAGTGTTTCAATGCATAGAAAGCACAGTGTTAGAAGAACACTTGAAGACCAAACGAGAAAACAATTTAGATGATGGAACACACCAAAATATGTGAATGAGCGATTGAAGGTTATGTGGAATAATTTTGTAAATACTTTGTAACTTCTCTCAATAAATGCATATTCCTCCTACCTATTGTGATGCTTTATAACTGTACTGAACGAAAGGTATATTCACACGACCGCTTAATTCACTTGTTTACTTTTATTTTTACTACCGTAACTGTCTTCTGATTAAGGACTATGTTTTCATGATACATTCATGATTTTGGTTTTAAGGAGACTGAAATAAAATTTGGTAAAAGCAAACATGGCTATTTATCTGTTTACATTTATGGACATCATTTTTAAGGTCAAAATTACCATATTTGCTTTTTTGTTAACTTGGAACGATCTATAAAATATCCAAATTTAGGCAATATAATAGTTTAGCTTCCATCACAATGTGATGTATGCTATATGTCTGTCGACATAAGTAGTATGTAACATTAATCGGAAATGGAAACCCTAGCAGCAGAAAGCTATGAAAGTTAACTTGAAGGAAACAGAAATGGAATTAGAAAAGAATTGTAAATCAGAAGAATCATGAAGAATGTGAAAGTCCAATGATAGAAATGTGCAAATAAAGTGTTTAATGTATGGTTCTTATATTTTAGCAAGATACTCTGTAATTTCCTATTGAAATACATTTTGTTGTCCCCATTTGTGTTTTCGTTCACTAAAACTGCAATATATTCAGCCTAGTTCGTTCATTGTAGTTTAACTTATTTGTCTATTACAAATCTTGTCATAGGATATGTATAACATAGAAGTCAATCCTTCAGATTATTACAATTTCATGCAACACAATTCAATCAATAGAAATCTATTCGACTATTTCATATTTTTATTTATTACAGACAATGTGATAGGATAGGTTAAAAATATAACAATGTTTTTTGAAGTACTCAAACTCAACTCAAATTCCTAGGATGCCTATTATTTTTGTGTATCAGATAATCTAACATCTAGTATGACATAAACGAACGATTTTTAATTATAATTTAAAACTTCGATTGAGAAATTCTTCTTCTTTTTTTGTACAAAATTTGATTCATTTCGGTAGAACAAACAGTTTCAAAACAATCCATGACTATTGATAAGATAATGAGTTGTAACTTTATTGTTTTAACATTAAGGAAAAAATTGAGTTTGCTTAAATGAAAACCCAAATATTTAACATTTAAAAAATACATGAGTTTTTTTAAAAAAAAAATGAATATACAAAATGTACTTAGTTGGATTATATTTTATACTATTTATTCCATAAACAAACGAACTGAACATTTCAAGGTTATTTTTCAGTAACAAGATTTTAAACACAGTCATATTTACTTATTCTCTTCAAACGTATATAGAGACAAGACATTTTCTTGAAAAAAAAAGACTATAGTTAAAGAAAACATGAAACACCCACATGTCTTCCTAGTTATCCACCTACACTCTCATTTATGAATCTATTTTTCTGGTCATTTGTTCAAAATGTATGTATACAACGCGCATGTATTGTTAATAATGTTCATCAAAAATGATAAAGGGAATGTACATCTCATTTACATTGAATAAAATTTCTGTCTGGTAGACTTTGTTTGGTAATTAGTCAAGATTTCAATCTGTTGATATAGATTTCATTTGATATAGGAGTAAAAATTATGATGTATTGGTCTTGTAAAAATTTACGCTAAGATTACTGTTTTTATGAATAATATAATTTATTATTTTAATGTCTATTCTTAATGGTGTTGTAGTGAGAATGAATTTCGTTGTAATAATGCGGTATTTTACTAGTTTCTTTATTGATTTTTACTGCTAAAGATTTTTCCACTGCATCGTATTTGGAGAAGAGTATATTGTGGGTAACTTCCGGTAATTGTTTATAGGTCTGGTACATTCTAAGTTCGAATCTCACAAGGCGGGATTGTGAATACGCACCGTTGAGAAGTCGCATACTAGGACAAAACGGCTGTCCAGTGCTTCCAGATTTTACATGGTTGTCTAGCTTCAATTGACTCACGAATTCAATTATAAAATTACGAAAATTTCCACAAAGACC